CGTGTGAACTTAATATATTCATCCACCGAGTTGATGTGATCAGTGAAATGTTGGACTTCCTGGGCTTTAATTTTAACCTCTCTCTCAAGAAGAAGTCTCTTGGAAGAGAGACGAAACGTTTCATTAAAGAAGAACCCGTCCAGAGGACCTATACAAATTTTTTCCTTTGTCCTTGTTGTGACTATTTTTTAATGTATTATTATTTTTATTATCTTATTATTTTTTACTCTTGTTAGTATTATTTCTTTCTTTCTCGTTGCTGTTCTGTATAAAAAAATATATCAAAAATAAAAAAATAAAGTATAAAAAAAGCATGTATTGTGTTATATTTACCTAAAATGTTGAACATTTCTGTAACCAGGGCGTGAAAAGGTGGGAAGAACTCATCATGCTGCCTCACTTTGATGATGATGCTGGAAAACGAGTAGAAACCATATAAACAACACTTCGTTAGGAGCAGAACCGTTCGACTTTTTAAACCATAACCCATTGCTTCTGTAACACTGAACCTGTCGACATCAGTGTCTCCCAGCAGACTGTGGAATCCTCCATCATGCTCATCTGAGACCAGTCTGGACACCTGGTTCACCACGTGAGCAGGAGAAACTCCGCTGTCTGACACACAACACAGAACTTACAACAACATAAACAGACAAAACTGCATTCAAACTGTCCAAAATATATCAAATGTTAATGATTTAATTTYCTTTCTGTGAATATCAGCTAAAAGCTAAAACAAGCATAAAGAAGCTAAACTCTAAAATTAAAGAGAACAGTAGATAAAATCTAAAACCAGTAAACAACAGCTAAAACTTAATCTAGAGAGGACATCACAAACAGGTAGAGGTCTCTGCAGTACACAGGGAGGTTTCTTGGCGGTGTTTGTCCTAACTGTGATTGGTTGGATTGACTTGTCTTTTGGGCAACTTAAAGGCACAGTGTGTAGGATTTGTTGTTTTCAGCGACATCTAGTGGTTGAATCATCCATTAATGTCGAAAAATACAGTTTTGCAACTGCAGTGTTTCCATTAAGTAAGAAATGTTATTAAAGTCACGCGTGAATACGTTTGTTCTCGCGATAAGTCATTACGAAYATGGATGCAATGGATGTAAACACATAGCATGTTGCTACCATGACACTAGCGCTCATCATCAGAGGARACGTTGGCGTCTTATCAAGGCTTTTGAGCGATGAGCCTCTTATACTTGAGAGCGGCTACGTATGCAGCGTTTTTGGGAAATTGTAGTCGGTGAGTTTACTACTTTCTTTTACTACTTCGTTGATTTTACTACTACATCTACTTCCTGTTGTCTTCTTCTTCGTTGTCTTTTTCGCCAGTAGAAACAGCCGGTTGTTGATCACGTGACTCCCGTGAAGCGAATAAGTGTTTCCATTGCAGTTTTGCRAATAACACCAATTTCGATACAGCCGAAAAACCACCTCATTCTAGCGCAAAAACATTTTGTCGAAAAATGTAAGTATTTTCGAAACTGACGTGTTTCCATTGAGCAAATTTATTTTCGAAATTCTAATTTGCGCATTTTCATGGTCAATGGAAACACAGCTAGTGATGCTTTCTGCCCGTTTCTGCTGAGCTACACGTTCCACCAGCTACCCATCGTTCATCYATCTGAGCTGTTACTGCTTCATCAAACTCCACCCAAACTAGTCCATCCAACCAATCACCTCTTTAGCAAACTCCGCCCACTTAGTGACTGCAGAGACCCCCTTCTCAGACAGAAGCTAATGCTGCGTTCCAGTTGTATTGGAACTCAAAATTCTGAAGCCGGACTGACGTCAGTTATGAGCTGATAGCATTCCAGTTTCAAACATCGGCAAAAGCGTTCCTATTATTTTGCTCTGCAACAATAAAACATACAATAATAGTGCTCTACRAGGTATTTTGAGTGTACATACAGTGCTAAAACATATATTTTAACTATCACTATAAAGCACTACAAGTACGTCTGATGTAATGTAAAATAAACACAGAAGCTGCGTTTGTTTACATGCAAGAGTAGCAACGTTAGCGGTTAGCTCGGACAAGCATGCTAGTACGCTACATACATTAAACAAATATAAAATGGGAAATTACACTCGTGTTTATTCTGCCTCCTCTCTTCTTACTTTCTGTCTGTTAAATAATGGGGATGGTGCTTGTGTACGTTTGATTACAGCTCAACATTAGAGAAACATGCTAATGATAGCATGACCACTGACAGTTTCATGTGCGCAGCAGCCATGTTGAAATGATGATGTAATGCATGCTCGGGCTGCTCGGGTATGGTTTGGATGCGCCGACCTCCCGACTCGAAACTACGACTTCAGGGGGCATTCCAGTTTAAAAATAGAACTCGGAGGCTCGAAGCTACGACCTCCGAGGACAACTGGAACGCAACATGAATCCAGCTTTGGAAACTATGSGGATCACCCAGGTTCAGGAGGTCTCGGAGGTTCCTCATAGCGTTGGTCATCTCTCCTAGCCGGGTGTAGACCTCGGTCATACGTGGGTAGACCCCGCTGAGGGAGGGAACGTCAAACAGCTTCTGGAAATGAGACACCATGGAGGCCAGGGTGTGGCGAGTCGGACTGCTGAGCTTCTAGCAGAACGACAGGAAGTATTTCATGAAGAGAAGAAGGACCTGCAACAGCTTAAACTGACCGCTGAGGTACCTGCTGATCATCAGCAGCAACGTTCTCCAACAGCGTGTCCACCAGCAGCATCATGTCCTCCACCTTCACCGCCTCTGAAGCGCCGCTGCTGGGCGGCTGCCAGGGCAACAGTCTGACAGACAGTTTGTTGATTCTGCCCTGAAGGTCCTGAACACATAAATGATGCTTTTAGCCWCWAWCAGAARCATRGATTTGGACCACCAGGTGGTCAGAGCGCTGACCTTCAGCCTCTGGAGCTGCTGGGCCCACTCCTCCAGGGTGGGCAGGAGGGCCTGGAAGTCGGCCGGCTCCACACCGCCMGCACAGCGTTTGTTCCTCAGTCTTAATGGGGCGTTTGGGTTGGAGACGAGTGCACTGATCTCAGTCAGCAGCTGGGATTGACAAACAAAGGTTTTAGGAACAAACACGACCAGAAGATGTTCAACGGAGAACAAGCATCTCACATGGTGATAGTGGAGACACACTCGAGCGTCCCTGAACTGGTCGTTCTCGTTACTCTCACTCGTGTCGTCTTCTTTAGGTAGTCTAGAAAAATCTCTGTTAGTCAGTGTGACAGGGTTACAGCCTAACACTGAGTGTCCTAGGCTGCATCGTCCTACACAGCCTGACAGCTGGAGTGAAGCACACAGCTCACCTTTTATCCAACTCCTGCTTCAGGCAATCAACTTCCCTCTTTAGCTCTTTTATGTGAAAGTTGCTTTTCTTCTGTTGCTCCTGATATTCCTGAGAGAAAATGAGTGTCAACTGTTGCTTCATTAAAAAGAGTTTGTAACATTACAGTTTTTAATGTTACCTTGAGAATAGTCTTCAGTGGTTTTATTTTAGACCCTTTGACCTCTCCTTTGGCAGATCTGTGATTAAACACTGACTTAAAAAAAACACAACTATAACCAATGCAGCTATTTTCCAAAAATCAAACATTTAGCTTTCTTCTCTAAAGTCAAACAATAATTTGAGATTTCTTTACTTGCAGTGATGAGCATTGTTCCGCTAATCAGMTAACAGCTAAATTCATTTTTGTTTAGTGGATTAGCTTTTTTCCTAACTTTGGAAAGATGTTTAAACACATGGAAAATACATTGTGAAAGTGGTGGTAAAGTTATCAGCTGCYAATGAAGAGAAACACAAGGATTACMCAAGTATTAGGAGATAAAGTGTAGAAAATGACACAGAGTACAAATATTTGGTCTTACTGTTAGACACTACACTTAGCTGTAAAAACATGTCAAACAGATGAGACACACTTTGAGGTAGAMGTGTAAACTTTAGATGTCTGTCACATTTCTCCTGCTGTCTCTCATGCTGGTCTCAACTTTGAAGCCCCCTGAATCTTTATGTGAACAAGCTCAGAAAATATTAGACAAGAGGACACTGTAGACCTGGGTGGGCATCGAGGGCCACAGTTCTGCATGTTTCACTTGTTTCTCTGCTCCAACACACCTGATCTGAATGACTGGATGATTATCAGGCTTCTGCAGAACTGGAAGAGGTAATTCACTGACTGAATCAGGTGTGTTGGAGCAGGAAAACAAAGTAAAACAACCAGGGCTGYRGCCCTCGAGGACCAGGATCACCCACTCTTGCTCTGGACAAAAGCTGTTGAGTTTTGAAAATATGATGACATTTGTAAAAACACAKTTCTGCACCTCTGTCTCCAAGACCTTCTGTTCATCTGACCTCTGAACATTTGAACAGAGTGACAAGGATCACCTCTGGATAGGGCTGCAATGTTCCTAAACCAAAATCTACTTTTGGACAATCAGTGTTCTACACAGTGTTCTACACAGTGTTCTACACAGTGTTCTACACAGTGTTCTACACAGTGTTCTACAAGGCCACAAAAAAACAGAACAAGCTCCCCACAGATTTAAAGACCAGCAGAAATTATAGAAGTCTCTCCAGAGAAGCAGAGAAATGGATTCACAGAAACCAAACTTATCAGAACTGATGTTTGATCAAAACATATTGTTTTTATATAATAGTTTATATAATAGTTTATATAATAGTTTGTGCATCTTGTTGTGTGATGTTGTTGTGTGTGTTGTTGTGTGTGTTTTTGTGTGTGTTGTTGTGTTGTTGTGTGTGTTTTCTGTGTGTGTTGTTGTTTTGTGTGTGTGTTGTGTGTGTGGATGATTTCAGATAATGCATTTATGAAGCTAATATTTTTATCTGCTCATCGTTAAGTTTTGCTCATTTTTACCTGCTAACTGGTTTAACATTTGTGAAGCTAATTTTCTTACCTGATCAGAGAYGAAGGATTTATAAAGCTAATGGGCCTCATGCAAGAACATGTTCGTGTTCTTATCCTAAATTTCTCTTACCTTTGTTCGTACAAAGGGTTCGTACGAACA